AAATCAGCAAAATGCTGAGGGCTTCACATTTTATTTTTAAAAATAGATGTCCTTTTCGAGTTTTCCTGTTGCTGGGGAAGTGTTCTTGCTGTTGCTAACAGAGAGCTAAATGTTCTGCTTTGAATGGGATGTGTTTGTTTTTATTGGTAGGAGTGGCAGAAGGATGAATGAAGGAATCCATGTTTTTAGCTGTGTTTCTTTAAGTGAGATGTCTGCCTTCTGGGTAGAGGTACCCTATTGGCTATTTACCAGATAATCCGTCTATAGAATCATAGAATATGCTCATTAGTTTACATATTATTTTATTCATTAAATCTTAAATGGGCTAACTATTGAAATTTAGAGATCATAAGGTTTTGGAATTCATATCAGGAACATCAATTATCGCTCAACATCTAGTGGTTAGAAGGTGCACAGAAGATATTTAAACCCTTTACATTTTTGCCTAATGTAATTTAGCCTCAATAAAAAGGGAAGAAAAATAGATGAGAGCTGGCTTTTTCTTTAAATCTTTTGATCATATAATTAAAATACAAGCCATTTTTTTCTTAATCTTTATATATTACTCTTTGCTCTATTTACCACAGGAAACTGATGGGAGAAATATCACAGACAAAATATTACAAAATATTACTTTGGTATATACTGTGCTTAAAACTGCATGGAAAAACAGTAGTTCTTCTGGCTATCCCAACCTTACATAGGAATTACAGAATTACTTTTTAATGTAATTTATTGCCCTAAAATTAAGTTCTATATTATTATGATTTTAATTGTGTTGTAGTACTATATAAAAGATTGTTGATTTCATAAACAAGAGCTTTTACCTTGTGTCTGTTCTGAGTAATTCATTGAACTTTATGGTTATGCCAAAAAATGTGATAATGCTGAAACTCTACACTGTGAAAATATAATTGAGTTTCTAAATTTCATGTTTGTCTTTAGGGTAAAGTTGTTACCCTAAAGTCATTGGTTTATGGGGAGGAGGCAATATTTTATAATAGCTCTCTAAATCTATCTGTAGCATGACGATGCTATGTGTTCACCTCATCATTTCATTTTCCTCATTGACATTGAAAGAGATTACATGCTCTACCTATCTGGTTAGGGTGGTCTAACTATCTTAAATCAAAGGAGTGTAGCAATCCTCCCCTCTATCCATCTTCCAAGGTGACCTTGGATGCTACAGATTGAGATAATAGAAACTCAAACTGGAAGGAACTACACAGGAGAACCCATCTACTAGATCAGGAAAAAAATACCTTTGGACTTTGCATGAGTGACAAATTCTTTTATTATCATGGGTGGTGGTTACAGCAGCTGGCAATATATGCCCTGAATAAAATACCCTCTAACTCTACTTTCTGAGAATAGAAAGTTTCTAACCTAAGGAATGTTTGCCCTCTTTTTTCCCCCACCCCTCAGGATCAGGGGACTGTTTTAATTAAGGGATATTACTTAAGTAGATCTCCAATTGATATACAATCCTCGAAGGACTATGGCCTTAATAAATCATGTCGTAGGTGTTATAGATTAGACTACATACACACACACACACAGAGATTAAGATTTCTGGGTCAAAAGGGTGACCTCAAAACCCTGCTCTGGCCGGGCGTGGTGGCTCACACCTGTAATCCCAGCACTTTGGGAGGCCGAGGTAGGTAGATCACTTCAGGTCAGGAGTTCAAGACCAGCCTGACCAACATGGTGAAACCCTGTCTCTACTAAAAAAAAATAGAAAATTAGCTGGGCGTGGTGGCACACACTTGTAATCCCAGCTACTTGTGAGGCTGAGGCAGGAGAATTGCTTGAATCCGAGAGGCAGAGGTTACAGTGAGCCAAGGTCACGCCATTGCATTCCAGCCTGGACAACAAGAGCAAAACTCCGTCTAAAAAAGAAAAAAAAAAATACCCTACTCCAACCAGGTTACACAGAAAAGAAAACCAAGGAAGCGATGAATAGCAATAAGGATGAATAAGAGAGTTACGGACCAGAAACAGGGAACATCCTGAGAAACTCTCCAGAGAGTTCCAATAGCTAATATAATCCAAGGATGTGGTAAAACTGGAAACTAAGAGAGTAGTTGGAGAGGATTCCGATTTTGAAAGATGTTCTATTGTGGGCCAAATAGTATCAAACAACATTGCATGCTGCACAGAAATCTTTCATGAAAAGAAGAGTCAATCAGTGCAGCAAACTTCATTGTTATCTTATTTTCAGAAATTGCTACTAGTGCACATCTTTGTGTTCAGTAATGTCCTGTCGGTAGCTTAAAACCAGCTATAGTGGGAGAATGTACACAACAGAAATAGCCAAATGACAAATTAAGGCTTGAATTATTGCTTTGCTGGTTTTTTAGAGTTAAGACCAAGAGAAAATGTTAATAATGAATAGTAGGCCAGACGTGGTGGCTCACGCCTGTAATCACAGCACTTTGGGAGGCTAAGGCAGGAGGATTGCTTGAGGCCAGGAGTTTGAGACCAGCCTGGGCAACATAGTGAGATCCTGTTTCTACAAAAATAAAATAGAAAATAGCCAGGCATGGTGACACATGTGTGGAGGAGGCACCTACTTGGGAGGCTGAGGCAGGCGGATCACCTGAGTCCAGGAGTTCAAGGTTGCAGTGAGCCATGATCATGCCACTGCACCCCAGCCTGGGCTACAAAGTGAAACCCTGTCTCAAAAAAAGAAAACACACACATAAAGGTGTCATGACTAGCTGTACATGATGTATAGCACAAACAAAGAACTATCTTTCAAGTATAGGCACAGCCTTTTTGTGTATATGTAGTTTGTTTTATTGCAATTTGCAGATATTTTGGTTTTTACAAATTGAATGTTTGTGGCAACCCTGCATCAAGCAAGTTTGTCAGCACCATTTTTCCAACATGTGCTCACTTCATGTTTCATTTTCACATTTTGGTAATTCTCACATTTCAAACTTTTTCATTATTATTATATCTGTTATGATGGTCTGTGATCAGTGATTTTTTATGTCAATATTGTAATTTTGGAGGGGCAATATGTACCATATCCATATAAGACTGCAAATTTAATCAATAATGTTGTGTTCTGACTGTTCCACTGACTGGTCTTTCTCACTCTCTCTTCCTTTCTTCAGACCACTTTATCCCCTGAGACACAAGAATATTGAAATTAGACCAACTAATAACACTATAATGGCCTCTAAATATTCAAGTGAAATGAAGAGTCAGATGTCTCTTTCAATCAAAAGCTAGAAATGATTAAGCTTAGTGAGGAATGCATGTCAAAAGCCGAGATAGGCTGAAAGCTAGGCCTCTAGCACCAACAGTTAGCCCAGTTGTGGATACAAAGAAAAGGTCTTGAAGGAAATTGAAAGTGCTACTGCATTGAACACATAAAAGATATGAAAGTGGAACTGCCATATTACTAATATGGAGAAAGTTTGAGTGGTCTGGATAGATCAACCCAGCTACAACATTCTCTTAAGCCAAAGCCTAATGCATAGTAAGGCCCTAACTCTCTTCAATTCTATCAAGGTTGAGAGAAGTAAAGAAACTGCAGAAGAAAGGCTTGAAGCTAGCAGAGGTTGGTTCAGGGGGTTTAAAGAAAGAAGCTATCTCTATAACATGAAAGTACAAAGTGAAGCAACAAGGGCTGATGTAGAAGCTGCAGCAAGTTATCCAGAAGATCTAGCCAAGATCATTGATGAAAGTGGCTATCTTAAACAATATATTTGCAATGTAGATGAAACAGCTTTCTATTGGCAGAAGATGTCATCCAGGATATTTACAGCTAGATAAGAGAAGACAATGCCTGGCTTCAGAGCTTCAAAGGACAGGCTGACTCTCTCATTAGAGGCTAATGCAACTGGTGAGTTTAAGTTGAAACCCATGCTCATTTGTCATTCTGAAAATCCCAAGGCCCTTAAGAATTATACTAAATCTACTCTGCCTGTGCTCTAGAAATGGAACAACAAATCCTGGGTAACAGCACATCTGTTTACAACATAGTTTACTGAATATTTTAAGCCCACAGTGGAGACCTACTGCTCAGAAAGAGGGATTCCTTTGAAAATATTACTGCTTATTAACAATGGACCTGATCACCCAAGAGCTCTGATGGAGATGTCTGGGAGAGAAATGTTGTTTTCATGCCTGCTAACCCAACATCTGTTCTGCAGCCCATGAATCAAGGAGTTGTTTCAACTTTCAAGTCTTAGTGTTTAAGAAATGCATTTCATAAGGCTGTAGCTGCCATAGATTAGTGATTTCTCTCATGGATCTGAGCAAAGTAAATTGAAAATTTTTGGAAAGGTTTCACCCTGCTAGGTGTCATTAAAAATATTTGTGATTCATGGGAGGAGGCCAAACTATCAATATTTATGTAGGAGTTTGGAAGAACTGGATTCCAACGCTCATAAATGACTTACAGAAGTTCAAGACTCCAGCGGAAGAAGTTATTTTAAATGTGGAAGACATAGCAAGAGAACTAGAATTAGAAATATAGTCTGGAGATGTGACTGAATTGCTGCAATCTCATCATCAAACTTGAGTGGATGAGGAATGGCTTCTTATGGATGACCAAAGAAATGCCTTCTTGAGATGGAATGTACTCCTAGTGGAGATGCTGTGAACATTGTTGAAATCACAACAAACGATTTAGAATATTACATAATATTATTATTAATATAATAATATATTATTAGTTGATAAAGCAGCAGCCGAGTTGGAGAGGATTCCAATTTTGAAAGATGTTCTATTGTGGGCCAAATAGTATCAAACAACATTGCATGCTGCACAGAAATCTTTCATGAAAAGAAGAGTCAATCAGTGCAGCAAACTTCATTGTTATCTTATTTTCAGAAATTGCTACAGCTACCCCAACCTTCAGCAACTGCTAGCCTGATCAGTCAGCAGCCATCAACCTTGAGGCAAGACCCTCCACCAGCAAAAAGATTACCACTGGCTGAAGGCTCAGATGATTGTTAGCAATTTTTAGCAGCAAAATACTTTTAAATTAAATTATGTGTATTTTTTAGATATAATGCTATTGCACACTTAATAGATTACAGTTTTATATAAACATAACTTCTATATGCACTAGAAAGCCAAAAAATTTTTGTGACTTGCTTTATTGAGATATTTGCTCTATTGCTGTGGTCTGGAACTGAACCCACAATATCTCCAAGGTATACCTGTATTCAAAAACTTAATTATCCAATTTAGCGAAGAATTTGCTCACATGAAGTTGTTCATTGACAAATGAATGAAGTTCTGACATTTACTTGCTAACAAAAAAGAAAATATCAGCCAACACTCATGTTTATGGAACACTTTTTATTAATTGCAACCATAATTTAGGGAGGATACAGGAATTCAGCAAAAGTCAGAAAAAGCATTAGAAGAGGTTTAATTGGCTATGTGAAAATCATAACATGAATATTATATCATTTTTAATAATTGTGTGCCATTTATTCTTCATGTTAGTAAGGTATATTTCAAAAATATATACATGTGTGTATTTTCTTTCCTAGAGAGCAAATTTATCAGCACAGCACTGACACTCTTTTACCCCTTTCACACTGCCTTAGTTTATCCATTAATTGCCAGCTCATTTCCTTCTTTGACATTCTCACATTTGTTTGGCTGAAACTTGAAATAGTTGTCAGAAAAAAGTTGAGAAAGGTAATTTCTCACCATTATCTCTGTTGTCTTAGATACTTGATACGGGAAGCTGTGGATATTGGTTATAGTATTTAAGGTATTCCATTCTCTTTCTTCTAGTTACAAACTTCGCCTCTCTTGCCTTCCTGCCACAGAAGAGACTATGGAACTCAGACTTGATTAATTTGAGCAACAGTGATTAGTGGATTATCAAGTGTCCTAATGAAACAGAGAATTTGTCTCTGGGTTTGATACATAGATTCTCAGGGGAACTTCTTCGTAGGGTGGTTAAGCTGGATCTTCTGGCAGGTTAAGTTCTCCACCATGTGAAGAAGGTATCTCTGCAGCAGGAGAAAATGAGATTACTGTGCCAAGAGAGGTAATTCCCACAGTAGTGAACAGCAGATAGAGTACATCCTGGTAATGCTGACTCTCCAGACCCAGTTCTTGTGGGCATTACTTCTTGCAGCCATTGAGTTATTCTACTATTTTCCCAGCTATATGGGCAATATATTGATATTTGCCTTAAGATAATTTGAGTTGACTTTCTCTTATTTGCAACAATAGTGTCCTGACTCATAAAAATCCCTGTGTATTTAGTGGGCAGGCTTCATTGAGTTTGCAAACTTCCTGAAATTCTATGCAAGATTTGTGTGTTTCTGTTTAGGTGCATTTTTACCCTCTGGGAATAGGGTTCCTGGCTTTCCTCAGATTTGAAAAAAGAATATATGCCCACAAAAGCTGACTAAAGTTAACGTGAGTCAAAATAAGCTAAATACATAGCTTTGTATGTCAGAATTTGTTCAGTATGTATCACACAAATCAAGTGGTGGTTACATTCACCTGAGCATGAATTTGAGTCTTTCTTTGATGTTTTTGACCTAGATTTCAAAGCTTCCTAGGAGTTTTAAGTCCCAAAGGCACTTAATTTTCATTTGATTTCTTCCTTGTTACTTTCTTCACATAGTAACCTATTTGTATATGTGTGATATTGTTAGCATATTTCTCAGGAGAGACTAAAATGGAAGGCACTTGTTATTCACTTGATTTATGAAATTTCAAGAAGGATGAACAGTGAATATGGAGTCAGTATCTGTATTTTATCAAAACTTCAAAAAATGACTTTTATCTATCTTTAGAAATAACTTTCAAGGAAATGACATCAGGCATTAAACTCAAATTTGGTAACTATTTCTCAGATGTTTTAAGATTACTTTTACAAAGACTTCTGGGTTAAGAGGACAATGAAATTAAGTTATAGGGTGGGAAGAACCTTTGTTGGGGGCAAATTAAAACTAGACTTATTGTGAATGAGAAAACAGTAAAATATAAGAAACCTATCTTTTTCTCTTGTGATATTAGCTATCAAGTGGAAAATAATTGCATTTGGTAAAAGCAAAATAAAGTGTTCCCAATACTATGCATTCAATACCTTTACTTCAGAAACAGCTAAAGCAATTTCAGAGGATGATTTTTGTCTAAGAAAGTAATTTATTGCTTGAATAAGCATGACACAGAAGGCTGTGCAGGTTCTGCTCGCCTAACTGAAGCAATATTTTGTCAGCCTCTGTGAGAGTTTTGATTGATTGTATCTATGGCACTAAAAAGAAAAATTATTTAAATCTTTAAAATGTAATGCACACAATAAAGTAATATAGTGAGTTCTTTGAAAATAAATCTTAATTGAAAATTAAAATGCAGTATATTTAACTTTATAAAAAATAAAAACACTTTCTCACCGGAGCCAATAGACAACATTATAAATATCCTGTCAAAGTTGAAGTAAATACACAATGTTTAAGGCTTACAGAAGAATACAAACAGACTAAAATATCAGATTAATGGATAAGTCTAGTAATGAGAATTTAAGAGCTAAAGCTATGAAATTAGCTGGCCTTTTTTTTTTTTTTTTAGACGGAGTTTCACTCTTGTTGCCCAGGCTGGAGCACAATGGCATGATCTCGGCTCACCACAGCCTCCACCTGCTGGATTCAAGCGATTCTCCTGCCTCAGCCTTCCGAGTAGCTGGGACCACAGGCATACACCACAATGCCCAGCTAATTTTGTATTTTTAGTAGAGACAGGGTTTCACCATGTTGTTCAGGCTGGTCTCGAACTCCCTACCTCAGGTGATCCACCCACCTTGGCCTCTCAAAGTGCTGGGATTACAGGCGTAAGCCACCACGCCTGGCCAACTGGACCATTTTAAGAAGAATTTTACTACATTTAAATTTGTGCACTTAGTTGAAATTTAGTGTTGCTTCTCTAAATCATACAAACCATTAAGTTGTTAGTTGAGAATGATTAATACACAGAAAGAAATTCTATCCTTAGTTCTAAGTCTGCAGTAGTTTATACCTATTTAATGGGTAGTTGGGCTAGTCTGACCTTTAAGGCTAGCTCATATTCTTGGAATCTACATCTTCATGAATACCTCTTATGCTATTGGCAATAATATTAATTCAAACATATGCACAGATAGGTTGATATATAAGCTTGACACAGAAAGCTATTAAGTCGTGTTCACTGAACTGAAACAATATTTTACCATCCTTTACATGAGTGTGTGTATGTGTGTGGGTGTGTCTAAAAGAAAGGTTTGGGTACAAGATTAATGAATTGACCCCTGGATGTTCCTGATGACAGAACTCAGATTTTCATGAGAATTCATTACAATAGAACTGCAAATTAACATGGTTTTAGGTGTTGTGTTCAGCTCCGAGAAGAAAAAGTTAGATGCAAAGAAATCTGGTTTGAGACAAGAAATATGTGACTTATTATTCTTTATTATCTACTTACTGAAATTCTTTATTACCTCCATAAGATACCTTACCCTGATGTCAAAAGTAGTAACTGATCCCGAACTAAACCATGCTGTGACACAGTTTGGCACTATTTAAGTTGTTATTTTATGTGACATGCAGATAGAGTTTTAAAACACAAAATAAATAACCAACAGACCCATGTGGCAATTCCTCATTCCTCACACCAAAGACTTTATAGATACTAAGGAGTATATAAAACACCACACTCTCACCCATGGATAATACTCATACCGAGTTAGAAGGTTTTCACCCTTATACTGCCAGAAAGGAAATTGCAAACAGATGATATACACAGTTCATTGATATGCTTAATACACTTACTCCATGAAGTGTAGAAAAACTGCCAAAAAAAGAAATTATGAACAGCATTCCAAATGCTTAGGAAGTTAATGTTACATTTTAGAAAAGTAATGACCGAAAACCATTTTCTACTTCATACATGCTACTTAGATATCTGCACAAGCTTTCCCCTCACAGATAAAAAACTGAAAGTAAATGTAAAACACCAATAAACCTGGCCACTAATATTGCCACTTCAAGAACATGGACAATAATGTGACATCTTTCATAGCTGACAGGATTTCTGCCAGAGGCTTGATAGATTGTCCTCTACCGAGTTACTTCTACCTATTTCTCAATTACAAGCTTATGTTCCTGCAAAATACTAACCTAGCCAAATAAATAACCGTTGTTTCTGAAAAGAGCATCTGCCCTGTGTCCCTTCTTCTATTCTATTTTAATAAATCAGGGTCAGCACATGACCAAAAAAAAAAAAAAAATCTGAAATCTTCTCTACTAGTCTCTCCGGAAATACAGCATCTAAAATTAATCCTAAGCGTCTACTTTTGTGCTTTCTCTCCTCATACCTTATAATGACACCTCTACCTTTTCTGATTCACAGGTAACTCCTAAACTAAAGGTACATCAGACCCAACAGGCAGAAAAAGAGCCTGCAAGGCAAGAGAATGAGACCCAAATGCTGCACCAGTGTAAGCTGAAGTACAAAGGAGGCCAAAAGTTTACCCTACTATGTTTGATTTTTAAAATTCTATAGCCCATTTTAGGTTAAAAATCCTATCACCTCTTTTTTCAAAATGTCTACCCCCATCCCAAACATGAGGACCACTTTTTCTACCCTCTTCCAAATGTGAAACCTGCTGAGAAATTAAAAAGAACAGAAGTCAATAGGCACTGAGGAAAAAGATGGGTCTCAGAGTAGGTTTGCGGTAGGTACAAAACATTTAAAGTATTAGTATAAGTCCTTTAACAAAAGTAAGATAATTCTTTTACTTTCAGAATTTTTATTTGCATAACTTTGTTTAATAGACAACTGATTGAACTTTGATTATAAAATAATTATGAAAACCCCAAAATGAATGTGACTGCTTGCCGTAATTGATGCAGTTACAGTTTGAAAGTAACACATGTCGCAAAGAGAGGACACAGCAGAAAATTTAGAATCATAATTTTTAGGCAGTAACTGTTGATGAATGCCAATTTTGAATTATTTTAAAAACCAGAGACTAATAAATAGTTTTATAGGACACAGTTTTATAAAACTTAAAAGTAAATTTTTTTGTGAACTCTCTAGAGAATAAGTTTTGGCAAATATGCTAGTGATGAAACACTTTCTATTCTGTAATAATTATATTGTATGCAATCATTATTTTGTATGTCTTTACTACATCGAGCTTCTCAAAGAGCCAATCTTTGTATCTCCAGATCCTATACAAAATGTAACTAAATAAATGTTTGCACAGTTGATTATTTTACTTATTTATACCTTATATTGTTATAGAATACATTCTTGAGAGTTTACATTAGAATCAGTTCTGAAGCTTTTTAGAAAACAAATTCTCGGACCCCACTCTGCACATAGGGCTAGATATGTTTTAAAAGCTGTACAAATTGATATACATGCTATGACATGATGGATATATAGAGACATGATGGAAACATGCCTGCCAAAGTCAGGAACAAGGTAAGGATACCTATCAGCTCCACTACTACTAAACTTAGACCAAAGCTATTAGCTGGTGAAATCATACAAGGGAAAATAAGCAGCATTGTAAGAATTTGAAAAGAAAGAACCCAGTGCAGTAGTGCATACCTGGCAACTGAAGTCCTAGCTACTTGGGAGGCTGAGGTGGGAGGAGGGCTTGAGCCCAGGAGTTTGAGGCCAGGCTGAAAAACACAGGAAGATCCTATTTCTTAAAAACTAAAACTAAAAATAAAAAAATTAGAAAACAGAGTAAAACTGTATGTAATGACATATGATACATTGGTATACCGAAAACACAGAAGATAATCAATGCTAAGACTAACACAAGTAAGAAAAAACATTTAATAAGGTAGCAGATATTTAAAATATATAATTAAAGAAGCAAATGTTTAAAATAAGGGCAGAAAGAAATATTTAGAAATAAATCAACAAAAACTGTGCAAAACCTATGTAAGAAAAACCTTAAAATACTCAAATTCAGAAAGTAGGCCTGAAGTAATGGAAATACATCCTTTCTCTTTGGGAAAGAAAACTCGATATTATAAAGATGTAAATTCCCTTTAATTTAATATATAAATTAAATGTGATCCCAATAAAGATACTCTGAAGTTGTTGTTGTTATTTGATGAAGATAGATTAATGCTAAGATTCATGTGGAAAAGTAAACATGCAAGAATACATAGGGAAACTCCAAATAAAGAAAAGCTAGGCCAGGCCAGGCGCAGTGGCTCACGACTATAATCCTAGCACTTTGGGAGGCCAAGGTGGGCAGATTGCCTGAGCTCAGGAGTTTGAGACCAGCCTGGGCAACACGGTGAAACCCCATCTCTACTAAAACACAAAAAATTAGCCTGCTGTGGTGGCATGCGCCTGTAGTCCCAGATACTTGGGAGGCTGAGGCAAGAGAATTGCTTGAACCCAGGAGGTAGAGGTTGCAGTGAGCCAAGATCATGCCACTGCGCTCCAGCCTCGGTGACAGAATGAGACTCCATCACCAAAAAAAGAAGAAGAAGAAGAAATAAAAGCTGGCCGGGCACAGTGGCTCACACCTGTAATCCTAACACTCTGGGAGACTGAAGTGGGCAGATCACCTGAGGTCGGGAGTTCAAGACCAGCCTAGCCGACATGGCAAAACCCCATCTCTACTAAAAAAATACAAAAATTAGCTGGGCTTGGTGGCACACTCCTGTAATCCGAGCTACTCAGTAGGCTGAGGCTGGAGAATCACTTGAACCTGGGAGGTGAAGGTTGTAGTGAGCTGAAATCGTGTCATTGCACTCCAGCCTGGGTGACAGAGCAAGACTCAGTCTCAAAAAAAAAAAAAAAACTAATGAGTGAAAAGTAGACTTACATGACATAAAACATACTTTAAAGCCTCTATAATTAAAAAAGTAGAGTGTGGATGCAAGAATAGAGAGACCAATAAAAAAGAATACCAGGTCCAGAAATAGATCCAAGCACATAAGAAAGTTAGTAAATGATAGATGTGGAAGTTTGTATCACGGAGGGGAAATGATAGTCTTTAACAAAAATCGTATTCACATATTAGAATTTTGGAGCCAGGTGCAGTGGCTCATGCCCCAGGACTTTGGGAGGCTGAGACAGGAGGATCACTTGAGGCCATGAGTTCAAGACCAGCCTGGGCAAAATAGTGAGGCCTCATCTATACAAAACATTAAAAAAATTAGCTGGACCTGGTGGCATGTGCCTGTGGTCCCAGCTACTGGGGAGGCTGAAATGAGAGGATTACTTGGGCCTTTGGAAGTTGAGACTATAGTGAATGGTGATCATGCCCCTGCACTCTATCCAGCCTGGGCATCAGAGCAACACTGTCTCAGACCAAAAAAAAAAAAAAAAAGAATTTTGGAAAAAGACAAAATTAGGTCCATACTTCATCTATTCAAAAGAGAATTCTCCAAACACATCAGGTATCCAAATGTAAAATATTAAATCATATAATTACTAGAAGAGAACATGAATGAGTTCATTTAAGACATGAATGTCAGTGCTGCTACGTACATGATCCCATATCAGACACTGTATATAGGTGATCTCAACGAAAAGTTGCTCAAAACTCAGTGAGGAAGATACATTGTCATCATACCCACTCTGTCGATGGAGAAAGCTGATGCGGATAAGCTACAAGATAGAAGGCCACATATTTCCCTGGGTGGTCTCTCTCACCCTGATCATGTAAATTAACAGCTTATATTCATAGATGTATTCAGAGCCTAAAGAAGATTTTAAGAAACAAGGTATCATACCCATTACAGGCAGCCTTGCAGCCTTCTGCAAATTCCTCATGCCGCAGAACCTGCAGTGTAATGACAACAGTTAAGTCCAGGCCATTTTGGGAAAAGCAAGGGAAGATACTGCTGAAAGGTCGCAGGCTCCTTATAGACGCTCTCAAGGCTGGAGCTGTGCCAAAAGTTTTCTTCTCTAGCCATCTATAATACATAAAGAAGCTGCTCATCGATAAGCCGAAGGGTGTCAGCCTCATTAAGATGAAATTCGAGGACATGAGGGATTGGTCCAACCTAGTAATGCCACAAAAATAATGGGGATTTTTGCCAAACCTGACCATGTTAACATGACATATCCAAAGACTCAGCTTTAGCACTCACTGCCTTTGTTATTGATTTGTGACAATCTCTGTGACCCTGGGAATCTGGGGACAATTCTGAGATCTCCAGCTGGGGCGGGCTGCAGCAAAGTGTTAGTCATTTTGAAATGTGTGGATGCCTAGGAGCCCAAAGTGCTACGGGTGGTTATGGGTGTACTTTTCCCGGTGCCCATTATCAGTAGTCTGAAAACAAAAACAGTGGCAAATTACCTGCCCCCTGACACCCAGGTCTGTTTGGCTGACAACCGAAGCCTTTATGCTGAGGCTCAGATGTCTAATAAAGACAGTGACTATGGCTGGGTGTGTGATTGGCGATTCCTGAAGTTTCACAAGTACGAAGAAAAGGAAGGTCTAGAAACTGGAGCCAGTAAAGGTTTGCTACCTGTTATTGAGGTTCAGAGTTATGGCTTCGACTGGACAGAGGCACCAGCAGCTGCAGTGGTTGGCAGCGAGACCTACGGCATGAACCTGGATTCTCTGTAGTTGGCCGAGAGCCCTGGGGGCAACAGGCTGCTGATCCCTGTTGCACCTGGTGTGGACAGCCTCAACTCAGCCATGGCTGCACGCATCCCGCTTTTTGAAGGGAAAAGACAACTGTGGGTGAGGGCGGAACACTTGAGCAGGGACAGGAGTTACCACTGAGAGGGGACACAGAAGTTCTGCTGAGGACATCTCCAGCTCCCCCTATCCCAGCACATCGTTAAGAGGCTGACAGAATCGGAAACTGTGGCTTCTCAGTTGGTGTCTGTGGCCTCCATGTTCAGGAAGCAAGAGGTAGGCATGATACCATCATATGGTTGTAGGAAAAATCAGAATTTTCACAAATTTCTGCTATTCCTCAGAAATAACAGGTCAAAATCCTTCCTGAGAACCCCCATCTCTTCACTGATTTTGAGGTTATATCTTATTTTTTTTCCCTTAGTGACAATGCAAATAGGGGATCCACATGGCTCTATATGTGTGTTTTAAAAATTGTCCACTGAGAAGCATTTTGTGCCCAGAAAGCTCCTGAAAGCATCATCTTGGGCAGGGAGGAATTTGCTGACCAGCTGGTGGGTGTTTTACAATCATCAAGCACTGGTTATAGGTCATGGCAAAGTCACTCACATGTGATCATTGGTCAGTGGTAAATAAAATAAACTATAAAGTGTAGAACCAGCAGATTACATTGAAAAGTTCTATCTGTGTGGTTAAAAATAAATAAATAAAATAAAACATGAACGTAGAGAAATCCTTTCTAACTATGACTCAAAATCTAGAAGCATTAAGAGAAAATATTTTACTTTGCAGCTCTTATTGTCAAAGGGATTTTTATCCAATGGAAGCTGAGCGTTTCCTCACCAGAGCAAGAAAAATCAGCCAGAGGCATCTGGGATGAACCTTGCAGCTACAGGACCAGTACCCAGACCATCTGTGAGATTTGGGCAAAACTGTGTCCATCAAGTGCAGCTTACCTCTACCCCTCTCAGTGCTGCCCACCTCATTGAACTAGGATTATGCCTTTTCTTCCCTACTAGTACTCCACCAAAATTAGAGTCTCTAGTCTGTTTCTCCAATACCCAGAGGCCCTGCATAGAATTTACTACCATTTTCCCACCAAAGGCCACATCCTATTCTAGAATTCTCCATACTATTAGTTGTTAACTAAGGACCTGCTTTAAAATAATAACCCAGAACAAGAATGCCATCAAATTGACTTCTTCTGGTACTTTTGCTTCCTTATACATATTTATACTCCGATATGACATGGACCCCTTGCATTACCTGTCATCTCTAATAATTACTGCACAATTGGTTCTTCTGAAATAACGACTCCTGTTAGGAGCAAGAGCAGGACTTCTTTCAACTTTGCATTTTGGACTACTAGCTTGGTTTCCTCAGTGTTTTACTTGCAGTGAAGTCACTCTTCTCAATGATGCTTTTCCCATGCAATCCTGCCTTGCCTTTCCTGTGTCCAGTCCCCATGGCTAGAATTAACTAGCTTTCTTTAATAACCAAATTGCCTTTCATTATGCTGTGGCAGACATCAGAGCGCTCACCTACATCAGTTCTTTCTTTCTGGAAACGTGATGCATTAAACTTCCCTGCCCACCTTTTAGTTAGGTGACATTGTCTTAGGTCAAGTTTCCCAGATCCA